GTCCCTCGGGGCGGTGCCGCGGGTTGGCTTGGAGCTTGCTGCCCGCCCCGTGCTGGCATCGCGCCACCCCTCGCCCGTAGCCGGGAGACCTGCTGCCTCCGGCCCTGGGCTGCAGGAGCTCTTCTTCCCCAGCCTCCGAATTTCCCTTCCGGCCCTACAACTTGAGCGGGAGCCTTGTGAGGGCCTGGGTTTCAACTTGTCCCAGCAGGATCTGCCGTCAGGGTTTCCAGGAGGGGATGATGCCTTTGGGAAGTGCTGTGCTGGTCTCCTTCTGACGCACAAAGATTGGGGGGCTTACGGTGTTCCCTCTGCCTCCCGAGGAGGTGGCAGAGTTGTCGCCGGGCCCTTATCTTCCCCTGCCAAGACGCGGGAATGCCATAACCTGATTTCAGCCAAATTTAAGGGCTTGGGGGTTTCCCAAAATGATAAATTCCCACAAACTGCATGAACGTAAGGATCCCAGGAGACAGGGACAGAAAGCCCCAGCCTGGTTCAACCTGTTATTAGACAGCGGAGAACCCCCACCCACTGCCTTGGGAACCGCGCGGTTTCCTGCTGCGAGCACCTTCCGTCGCCCAAGGGAAGGGGAGGGAGAGACGAGTTTCCTCCCCTGGCTCAGGAGGATTTATGGTTCCTCCAGGAATTGCTACCTTTCCTTGGCTGGACCCCACGTCGCACCTCCCTTCCCCGCCCCTGTGAGCACCTCTGCCCTGGGGACGTTTTTTCGGCAGGTGGCTGATCTCAGCCTGCCTCCTCCTGCCCCTTGGGGCCCCTGGGTCACCTCCCACCAGTGCCTGGGACTGGCGTCCTCCTGGCTGTCTCCTGGGGGCCGGGGACCGCCTTTGGGGGTCTCACCCCTCTCTCTGCACCTTTGCCCCGTAAAACCTGATGGGGAGAGGTGGCCTGAGCCCTCTGCGGGTTTGGTGCTCTCGGTACCCTCCCCAGCCCCCAAATTCTCTGCCAACCCTTGGGAAGGGGGTTTGGGAGAACTTCCCAGAGGTGCCACCCCCTTGGTGGGATTCTGCCCCAGGCCTTGGCAGATGACACCCTAGGGGAAGGGGAAGGTCCCGGACACCTGGGCTCTGTCCCCAGCTCTGTCCCCAAGTCAGTGGGAGCAGTGTTTGACTCTCCCCGTGCCTCAGTTTCCCCAGGAGGGTGCTGGGAAGCAGTCGAAGGCTCATGGAGGTGAGGTTCAGGGCAGGGGAAGGGCTGGCGTGAAACTGGAGCTGGAGGGACTGTGGGCTCATCG